TGAGCTGTATTCACAAGTTGTTTTAGCTGCACAAGTTGATTTGGCTGCAAAACAATATTTTAAGTGGTTTTTTTGCATGTTAAGTTTTCAGCGGGTCAGCTGATCTGTCTGACCACGTATGCACACAATCAGCAGTAGCAGTCCTTCAAGTTCACAGCTCTGAAACTGGCCAGAGCAGATTGGGATGATCTCTTTAGCCAACAGCTAATGGCACCAGTGTAATTAAATTAGATGGCTGGAACAGAGTAACATGCGTGTTGTGTTAAAAAAAAGCTACATGGAAAGAAAATTCCATCAAATGATTTCTAAGCTCACAAAAAAAGTCCATAGGAGAGAATCCATATTCACGGGGCAGCAGTCCAATTATCTTTGCACTTAAATTTTCTTTCCATAGTTCCTACTTCGTTCACCCAGTACATATACCAAACTCTGCAACAAATAAAGTAGAAGTCCTTCAGAAAAATATTTAATTCATCACATGACTACAGGTTTTCTTCCATACACTGAATTAATCTGAAATCCCTTGGGGAAAAAGCAGTATGTGGTAGTTAATGATATTTTAACACAGGTAGACAAAAGAAGGCAAATTAAATAATTGAATTTGAAACCAGAGAGGTATTTCCATATAGGTTTCTGTATCTGCCTACTGAGAGCTTAAATAGGTAAATCCAAATTCCAAAAATTTCATCGTGTCGAACTAAAGTGGAGTCAGGTGGCAGGGTAAGAGTAAGAACACTTCGGGCATGTTGCCATGTTAGTTATAGAAATTGATTTTTAAATAACTCATAATTTTAAAAAATCTTTTACATCTTGCTAGACAAAATATATAAACATGCAGCTTAGAACCATAAAAGTGGCCCAAGTCCATTAAAAGTGATAGACTTTCTATTGACCCTAGGTCAGGCTCCATGTGTATAGAGCAATAGTCTCAATATACTGTAGCAATGATCTTTCTTTCTTTTTTTAAGCACTTCAACAAGCAAATATGTATTTTAAAGAAACATATCTGGCATAATAATAGTATATAAAACTAGGTTAATTTGCTTCAATGACTTCTGTAATTATGAAAAACAAATATGAAGACACAGAAGGAAAACAATTACCTCCTTTTTTAATCGTTATTCTGCTATGTATAATCATTCTGTTACTGTCATGTTCTTCACATTGTGGTATTTTAGGGAAAAATATCTTAAGGTGACTTATCATCTTGTGAATTGGCAAAACAGTTAATGTTTTAACAGTGATGCATAGACCAACTGCTTCTTTTTTGTTTGTTTACTACATACTGAAGATATCATGGTTTGTTTCACAATACAATCACTTTCAGAAAGTACATTAAAACTTATGGATATAAATTAGATCACCAATTGAGGGTTCTCCTTGTTTATGAGGTAACAACTGTATCCTGTGGAGGTGTTTATTAGACCCATTACACATACAGTCGCTACCAATTTAAGTGGAAGCATGCTCAAGTTTTTCTTTCAATACCAGAATGTCAAATAAGAAGAACTTAATTTCACAACAAAAAATCTCACACAAAATAGATGAAAACAGATGAAAAATATTTACAGAAGCATGTGCACCAAGCTGAATGAAGTGGGAATATTAAAAGCATTAGAGAATTGTAACTAGCGCTCCAATCAGTTGCAGATGAGATTCTAGTTTTAGCGTAGTTCCCAACACTAGCATCTACGATCAATAGATTGGAAAATATGTATGTGTTCTAGCAGTCTTTGCATTAATTTTGTTACAGAAAGGAACATGGACAAGAGATTTTGCCTATGAAGAAATGGGTGATAAAGGAAAAAGATATTGGTATGTAACGTCATAAAAATCAGATAAAAATTCACACTATGTGCATGAATTGATTCCTCATAATATCATACTATAATTACCTATTCTCAAAACACAGTGGTTTTAAGCTCTGTGGAGAATTAATGGTATTTTAACTCTAAACTTGGCTGTAAATCACACTATGCAATCATCTTAAAGTAACAAAGACACATACTAATATCATACACTACCAACTAAAACAAAACAAAAAACCAATGGGCCTAGAGTCCATTACCTACTATCCTACACCAACTGTGCCCAAGACTACCTACAAGGAAGGATGGTCATTACTGAAGTCCTCTGCCAGGTGTTTCGCTCTGTCTCCCCGTCTTTATTTTCCTCCAATAGGTTACACGTCTTCTTGTTTCCCCCCCCCCCCATTTGTCATTCCCAATTGTTTGATTTTCCCATAGTGTTTTCTCTTTAGTCTACTGTCCTTCTTGGAAGGAAACTTTGTTTATATAATAGAGGGACTGGAAACCAACCTCAAGGCAAAAATCAAGAGCAGCTGCCTCAGGCAGATACCATGGAAAGCATCTAAAACCAAAGCAAGCATATAGTAACTACTTCCTGAGAATGTTCCCCCAGAATGCAACCATTTGCAGCTCTCAGTCTCCCTGAGCCAAATATAAATTTAAGTTTTTCATGTCTTTTATTTTTCTTAGATATTTCATCCAGTTGCTTACTGAATTTATGCAAATTTGCCCCATCTACAACATCTTACTGTATAGATGTCCACAGCTTAATTACACACGGTCTGACGTTTGTTTGGTATAGTAAAACTGGAAAGGCAGTTTGATTGCTGGAAAGAAGTATTTAATGGACTCTTTCTGCTAGGAATATCTCATTTTTCTCTCACTGGATTTTTGGAATGTTTCATTGGAATAGTTCTGTATTAATTAATTTAGGTAAAGAGTGGCTTATACTTTGCATATAGAACTTCTCAGCTATATTTTCCATTGCAACATGCAAAATGCTACTCTGCAGCAGTTCACATCTGAGGGGTGTTACCTCCTTACAACAGCATGATATTAGCTCCTGTTTCAGTGAACCTTCATGTTAGAAGGTTATTTGCTTTTTTAAAAAATATTTTTGAAATCTACAAAACCTTGATGCAGTGGGAGACACTACAAAATATATCCAATATATACATAATACATATATCAGATGTTTGTAGTTTGGTCCATAGACTGATAGCTTCATGCTGCAGTTCTAACCTATTTCACTTCTGTGCGTTGTAGACTGATGTGTCGTTTGATTTATTAAAAAAAATAAAAATCAAGAACATGTAGTAGTGAATAAGTGAACTGAGACAGTAGTTATAGATAGTAACATTAAAGTTTTTAAAAACACTTTTACTGGAAATTATCCCTCAACGAAGACAGAAAAATTTTGTTTGCTGTTTTGTGGTTTTTTTTTTAAAGAAGCACTACTGATTGTTTCTAAAGGAGCAGTAGTAGTGGTAGTGAAAGACCATTTAATTATTTTATTTTAAATCTATTTCAAAAGAAAAAGCCATAATTATCATGTTTGGAAAGATAGGGAAAAGTTACCTTTTCTATGTTTCAAGAAAAATATATCTTTATGGGCCTTTAAAGTGGATAATAAATTGAAAGGAACACCCCCTTCCCTCCCAAACACACCTATCTCCTACTCTACTCTTCGATAGAGCTAAAGAAAACAAAATATCTTTACGTTAAATAACAATCCTCATTAAAAGAATGCTCTTTTTTCAATTTCACATATTATTTTTTGGTCTTGGAGTGAGGAACGGAATCTCTAATTTGGCTCAGCTTCACTATATTTTCTTATACTCTGAGGTAACTGATGAGATTCAAACATTTATATTTAGACTATATTACCAGAAACAGCTGTTCCCAGGAAGGCTTCTACTTCCAAACCAAACTCACTAAAATTCAGGGAGGATCAAGTGATAAGAGAGTTCTTTAGACATTCTCAATCAATAAGAAACCAGTCGTACAAATATTCCTAAATGACTGACCCTGCTGATATACCTGTGATACTCGCTCTTCCTTGAAGTTCCAGGTCTTATACTCTTGCAAGAAACTTTGCAAAGTTTCTGGCTAAGATGCAGAAAAATACTTAAAATGTGATACTAAAGCTTGCAAAAGAGAAAGCAAGTGAACAAAACCTAAAATTTAAAAATAATAATAAAAAATCAGCTCTTAATCCATATTTTTAAGTGCCTGAAACCTCAAGGTTAGGACTCCAGTAGCCTGTGTATAGTTCATGAATGCAATTAAACAGAAATCAAAGGGAGTATTTATATTTCTCAGTCACATGCATGGTCAGTTCTCTTCTGTAACCTCTGGTCTTAACAGAAGTACATACCTATCATCTTTGAAGTTGTAATAGCTATTAAAAATGCCCAGCACAGAAACTTGCAACATATTTACTAGCAGTTAAATGATATTCAATATTGCTTGCTTAAGTTTGAGCCCTAACAAACTTTGAAGTAAATCCACGCACAAACTTGGACGGTTTTCTCCTAAAATTTAGTGGGATCCTTCACTGTGTTTATGTGGAAGGCTGAAGGCCCTATCCGCATCTGCAGTCCCGCTACTACAGCACTTATTTTTCCCTTAAATAGCAAAAAAACAGTCCTTGCAGCGTGACTTTTGGAAAGGACCTCGAAAATTGTAGTTCCAAGCCGTAATATAGCCTGTACCCGCAAGGGCGCTCCCCCACACGAGAAGCCCCGTGAAGGGGGCACCTCCCCAGCGGACCTCGGCCCCCTCTGCCCGCCGCCGGGGCCGCACCACCGCCACCCCGCCAGCTCCTTCTGCCCTCGCCGGCGCCGCAGCGGCTTGAAAGAGCGGCTTGCGGGGCACCAAAGCGGGCACGTCCTCAGGCATGAGGCGGTCGGCGACCGACGCCCCATCGGACCCCACTACTCCTGCGCACCGCCCCACCCAGCGCCGCTCCCGCCGGGACACAGCGGCCCTCCCGCCCACCGGGGCGGCTGCGCAGAGCCGAGCGGCGTGGGATGGCCGCTCGCACCGCCCCCTTCGCACCGCCCCGGAGGGGCCGCGGGGCGGAGCTGCAGGAAGCGGCCGCCCGTGGCTGCTTCGGTGCCGGGATCGTCGCAAAGGGCGCCCGGGGGTTGTCGCGATTCCCCGCCCCGCCATCATTGGCCTTCTGCCTCTCGCCGCCCGGCGCGGCCGCGGGGCTGGGGCGGCACAGACCGCGCCCCGCGTCTCTCCCGCCGCCTCCGCGCAGCCCCGGCGGTGCGAGGCATGAAGCTGAGCAAAGCCCAGTACGATGAGATAGCCCAGTTCCTGGGGCACGTGCAGCCCACCCGACAGAGCCTGAGGAAGCTGAAGGAGAAGTTCCCTAGGTAAGTGCTTCCCGCCCTTCGGCGCGGGACCCCGGCGGCGGCCTGCGGGCTGGCTGCTGGCGGGCGAGGGGCCACGGGGGCCGCTCCGCCAGCCCCACCCGGTGCCCCAGTTCTGGCCCCACACGGTACAAAATCACCAGGACACGCACACGGTCGTCGACGGCAAGCGACAGCTCGCTGAAGCTGCTGCTGGGAGCAGGGTACTGCTCACCCACCGTGACCTGAGGAGTTGGCACAAAATAAAGCAAGCTTCCTCCCCGACCCTGCCACACGTCCAAGTGAAAGCTTTTGCGTCCCTTCATGAGTCTCTTAAACACCAAGTAGGTCTTCTGATATGAATGAAGCCTTAAGGCTCGGGCCGTAACTCTGTGGCTGAGGCCAAGGGTGGAACACATCTTGCAATACCACTGCCCCTTTCACTTAGGCAGAAGGGGCTTTCTGGACCCATAATTCACTACCTGTTGCTACTTTGCAGTTGAAGGCTGGAAAAGGGGTCATCTTGTGACATACGGCCATTCATCTGCTTCCATGCCTGAGTGTTCAGAATTGTTTAAAGCATTTGCAAATGACCGTAGGCTAGCATGGAAAGGTGCACATGACAGGATGTGCTCTATGCACCGATTTCATTGCCAAAATTTGCTTACTATCAACAAGAGAGTTGTAAGGGAAGTTGCAAGGCTTTTCACGTTGTTTTCAGGTTTGGGGGAAGGATTACTAATGCTGTATTGGAAAGGAAAGCAAAATGGGTTTTGGGGGGAAAAGAATGGTGCTGTCTCTAAAATCACCACAAATAATACAGAAAAATGTAGGGGTTTAGGTGCTATGCTTATTTTCACGAGAGAGAAATAAGTAAAATAGAAAATCATTCACAGGCTTCCCGAATGAGCCTTGCTAGTCTTATAGGAAGCGTGGGAGAAGAAACTGACACTGTAACTTAGAGTAAGTGGATGAGGAGCCGACACTAACTTAGGCTTTGAAGTTGTCCAGTGAAATCTTTTCATTTTCGGGAAAGTGTGTATTGTAGTTAAAAATCAAGCTGAGGGAATAGCCCTGTTATAGAGAACAAGTGATTGTAAAAAAATGTGGTTGGTTTAGGGAGTGCATTGAGTTGCATTGTTGGGAACCCAGCTCACCTTGCACAGTACTTCTGCAACTTGGAATCCACTTACTGTGACAGCATATGTCTAAAGAACTTAGATTTGGCTTTACCACTTTGGTACTAATGAAATTAGGAATAAGTGTTTATGTATATTTGTGTGTGCATGCAGGCATTACACATATGCATGCACGTGTTCTCTTTTTCTAGTCTCCTTATAAAGCTGTCTTGAAAGAAGGTTAGACTTTGGGTTCGTTTTCCAGGTCAGAACCTGCTGCCAAGACAGATCCATAAGCACATGAGGGTCTGTAATAGGGAAAACGAGTTTGTCATAAAAAGGCCAGGCCTTTCTGATACGTTTTACTTCCCAGTCCACACATTTGATACTGCAAAAGATCTGTTCAGTCCTCTGTTTCAGAACTTGATGACTCCTGAAAAACTATGTGCAACTAACATTGTAAGATCACACAATCACAGAATATTCTGAGTTGGAAGGGACCCACAAGGATCATCAAGTCCAGCTCTTAAGTGAATGGCCCGTATGGGGATTGAACTCACAACCTTGGTGTTATTAGCACCAGGCTCTAACAGGGTCAGGGTTAGTTAGGAACAAAATAACATTTTTTTTGTAAAGCAGCTGGTGTGGTGAACACTGAAAAGCAGAGATTAGCTATAGTAGTTTCTTCCATAATTAGCTGGCTTAGCACACTGTTTTCTTGTTATTCACATTATGTTATGAAAATGCCCTCTTTTGAATTCTGCTTATAGGCCTCTCCTGAATTTTGTTTGCCCATCCTGACAGAAGGCTAAAATCTTCTATTTGAGTGATGAATTAATTGATAGCTTTTTCAAAAATGCCTGTCTTAAGTGTATTTTGAGGTCTACATATGTCCTTTCTGTGAATGGTTCAGGAAGTGGTATTTCTTTGTTGTTTCTTTGTTTATTTCTCATAGCAGGACAGATGCAGAAGATAAATAATACTTTCCAAGGTCACTGCCTGCCTTAGCAGCAAGGGAGGTGTATTAAAATAGATACGTTATAATATGTACAACAGGCATTCTCTGTAACTGTTGTCTTGTAAAAGAGGCCAGCTGCAGAGATTTGTAAACTTGTGTGCCATCTTAAAGGGGAGGCTTTTTCAGTGATGTGTTTTATAACTGTGAAGTAATTTTCTTATAATCTAGAACCTTTATCATTCTCTTCTGGAATGAGAAGGGTCTGATTGGACTTTTTGCCTGCTTTTTTTTCTTTATGAAAGCTAGAATCAAGCAAGCAAACCCCCCACCCACCTCAACTTTCTAATTCAGTCTTTTTAAGAAAATATTCCAGAATCTGTGATGGTACTTGCAGTGTGATGAAGGTGTCCATAGCCAGTTTGTCATTATTATATGGTAACAGTTGCCGATTCAAACTGGAAAGTACTAACATCCATTATAGCTGCTTTCACCTTGCACTTTCAATCTTTTCCCGGGAAGGATCAGTATTCCACTGGTAATGCAATACATAAATTGACAGTTTTCAAATATTTCTGGTTTCTGCTGCCTCATAGATCTTGAGAGTCTTTGAATTTCTGCATTTATCTGTTCAGTTTTTTTTCTAATACTGTCTTATCTCTTGGTTCCTCCCTTGGTTGTTGTGTTTCCTGAAGTGTCAAAGTTAATGCTCCTTATTTGTATAAAGTATCTTTCACACTTTGTGAAAGGGCCTGCTCTTGTTCTGCAATTTGCCCCTAAGAATAAGTTGTAATTTCCATAAAACAATTGCCACAATTCAGTATATAGGTATGCTGTGTGGTGGCTGCCAACCTGACCTGTGAATCTAAATAATTTTTTAACAGGGTAGTTTGTGCTTTACTGTTATTGAACTACTTCAGCAGGTGAGATTACTACTTCAAAAGAGCGTTGCCATGTGACTTATTAATGTCAAGAAGGCAAAATTAGACTGTTTCTCATACTGTTTATACAAGCATTGGGACTTTTTTTTTTTACAACCCTGTAACATTACAGTCAACGTAGATTTAGTTTACTTGGCTTAAAATCCAGTTGTTTTGCAAAAACTTGGGAATCAAGTTGCTGTTCTTTTTCTGTTAGTGCAGTGCTTTGTATTCCATGCCTGGCAATTACCAGTGTATTATTCATTTCTTTATTCTTAAGGTATTTGTTACATGCTTAGCAGTTGTCTTCTAACAGGTTCATGTTTAACAGCTGGATATTTGGATGACCTGAGGATTATCAAAATGTAATTTTGAGTACTAAGCACAATAAATCTCTGCCAATATTGAATCACTGATCTGTAGTTCCTTTGATCTTTTTAACACGTTATGTTCAGTGCTTTTCTGAAGTGTACCACTTTTTCTTCTTTGTTTCTCACCTGAATTTATCTACTTGCTAATAATTGTAGTTTTCTTTGTTACTTTTGTATTTTATTCTTCTGCTTTCTTTTTAGCTATGCACTCGTGTTCTTCTGAGATACTGTTCTTCTCAGTGAGACCTAATGTCTAAATTGAATTACCCATTGTAGGGCTGGTTATAGGAAGTGTAGGGTATTGCAGGAAATGTTCTGAGAAAGTTACAATCTCTGTATATTCAATATGTGTTTATATCTTAAATGGTAGTTAGAGCTGCCTCCAAGTAGAATCCTGTAGATAAGAATCACTTCAGCCCTAACTATTTGTAGTGACAAGATGTAAGTTAAACTTTTACCTGTATTCAAAGACTATTTTAACTTATCCTGAAAAGTCCAGCTTCTAAGGGTTCATACCCAAACTGATATTCTAGTACTTTGGTTTAGTCATTTACTGTTTAGTTCCTGTTTTAGTTGTTTCAATTCTTCTGTGTTTGGAAGAATATATTGTTTCTCTCAGAAACTTTTTCTAAAGCTTCTTACCAGTAGAACATGATTGACAAACGACTGGACCCTTCTCATATATATACACCTTTTACATATTTTGCTACTCTTCTTTGTCTCAATTCTGATTGAATATTACAGTTTCCTTGATTGAATCTTCCTGTGACGTCTACCAAGTTTTCTCAGGTTGAAAGCTTTGCTGACCTTATTCTTTATGATACTATCTTGGCAGATTTCTTTATGTGAGTTTTTTTCTGGTTTGGTTCTGTTCTGAGCGTTTGAGTTTCTAACACTAGATTGTGCTTGAATTGGAGATTCCATAAACTTTCTTATGGTTCAAGTTGTCTCAGTAGCCCTGTGCATCTCTTAGTGATTCCAAAATCTATATGCTTGTCAAGTTCTTGCATTGAACTATTGTCAAATGTATTTCAGTGCATTTAGAAGTGCTATATTCTTCCATAGCACAATTTGTGTAGTCCTGTATTGTTTATCTTCTTTTCTTCAAGTTGTTAAACTAAGTTGGTGCCTCCAGCCTAACTTTCCTTTAGGTACCTTCACTTGTGTTCCTATAAGAGAGGCATTAGTTTCTGAGCCTGTTTGAGTGCAAACTCTTACAGAGATTTTCAAAGTACTAGGATTTCAAAGTATTAGAACTTTTATCAGCTGCTGTGTGCAGTTCTTCACTTTTCTTCTGTGAATCTATTCAGAGAAATACTGTCCTGTTTGTGTCCCTTCTGTGAAAACTTACTTCTGTATGATCAGGAAGAGCTTTTTTTACAGCAGAAAGATAAGGGAACCTGGCATAAATGTAAGAGAAGTACTTTTTTTTCCTTCTGCTTCATTTTTCCAGTAAGCAAGAGGAAAACATGATGCACAGCTTCATACTGATATACTTGGTATTTGAATATGGATATTTGGTTTTAATGTATGCAACTTCCTGTTTGATTATTGTAATGCACACAGTCATTCCTCGAGCATATCAAGAGGTGCACGTTCCTCTACATTTGTGACCTCTCTTCTTCATTATGTAGTATCACTTCAGTTTTACACACATTTT